GAATATCTTCTTACTGTCATACAGCCTTACTGCAGAAAGAATTTTAAGTCAGGTGAACATAGAGCAATTGTTACAGTAGATCCCTTAAAATTTAACTGCCAGCATAGTTCTTCCTGATTAACACCTGTAAAATCTACTTGGTTACTATAAAAGCAACTACACAATATAATCTTTAACTTCTCAATCATTTCAACAACAAATTGCATAATGCTTTGCTTGTCAGAATATGCTTTATAAACTCTGGTGAATTTGTGTAAAATTTATTGTTAAACCAACCTACATCCTCTCTATCATTTCTTTATTCTGAGCATAAATTCAAAATACCCTTCCAAAACCTCTGTGACCTCTCTTGAATTAAAGTCACTCTGTTCTTGTTTTCCTCTCAAAGAACATACCACTAACATATGCATAGACTGAAAGCCAGTTACCAAAACTCTGCATTAGCAAGTTCCTCCAGATACAGAAAATCAAACAGCACACAGTAAATCCTCTAGGAAATAGAGATGACATCAAAGATACGTGTCTCTTCCTCTTGCTGTCTGACACTGCAAGGTTGCAAGGTCCCAATCCCAGAATTTCCTATCTCCATAATCCCATTCAAAGTAGTTTGCTACTAAACCAGCAGGAGGGGACAGACTTTGTCCTACTGAAATTATTCTGCTTTTGTTTCATCTTAAGTATGGGATTAGGAGAAGAAAAGCCCCACAGTATATCTAGAATGCACAACTCCAGAATAAAGACAGCAATACGAAACGTGCAAATGTAGCTGCTAGCTAAACAGGCTTCACAATGCTTATTTAGCAGATTACAGTGGATTTTCAAGAAGTAACGCTTCCAGTTTTGAGCTCTGACTCAAACTGTGCAGACATGTGATGTATGAGGTTTGGTTCTGCTAGTTAAATACTCCAACATGTGCAAACTCAGGTGGAGATGCAAACAACGTTCCATCCTAGCAAAGGATTCCAGAACCAAACGCCACGCTAAGCAGGTTTTAACTTCCAAACAACTATGTCATTAGCCCACTGTGAAGATAAGGTTAAATTCATATGATCACTACTACTCCACTTCCTGCTTCTTCACAGATCACAATTTTACTAAATTATATTCAGTGTTCTTACTACACATGCATTGCCAAAAATGGAGACACATGCCTACGCATCTAAATGCCTTGTAATAAATCACCTAACCATAAAATAAGGAAAACAAATAAATCCCAACTTTTAGTGCAATCCCTCATGCACAGTAACACTGAACAAACACAAACTTGCAGATTGTCTCTACTGTTTCAAAACTCTTTACTTTTACAGTCTTATGCTATTCACATACCTGCAAGAACAGGCATAACGCAACATTTCTCTTTATATTAACAGTTTGAGACTACTTCAGAACAAATGCATGTAATTAATAATTTCACAACCTGAAAAACATCTATCAAATAAAAATACTACGTATGTGGGTGAAGTTTGTCTTCCAAATGCAATACATGCTAGTTTTTAAATTCACATCTCTTTGGCACCTTTGTATCTATTTGGTAACACAGAAATGGTTTGCAACTAGTTGTCTGTGAACAACGTTAAAAAAATGCATAAATACAGAAAATCTACACATTGTCACTATGCTAACTGATGTTCTAACAGACTGAAGCATATGATCTCAAATAGCCTTAAATTTACACAGAACAGGTGCAGTGTAATGTGTATTTCATCTTTATTTTACTTGTAAATTTGTAGTAATTACAAGTATGACTACACATGATTAGAACCAATAATTTCCATAAGCAGCTCAGATCACCTCACCATTACCAAGGCTATGAGGCCACAGAATGCCTATACTGAGGGCTGGCCAAAGTTTCTGCTCAACGCACGTCTTCAGAGTTCTTCCATTGCTGTGCTTAACATAGAAACTTTGCAGGTAGAAGAAAAAGAATATTCACAAAGTCTAACGATTTTTTAAAAAATGGAAAGATTAAGTTGTGTGTTTTTTTAAGCAGGGGATATATTTTTCTTTGTAGTAAGTGTAGAAAACGTAGCACTATTTAGCAATGATTTTGTTTAAAGTAGATGGAAGGTAAAAGTAAATCTCTGCCAAGCCTATTTAAGATTTCGCTCTTTTACAGTCTTCATTTCCTAAATGAAGTCTTTAAAAAAAAAAAAAGCACATTTTCAGACAAGAACATCCATTAAGCGTGATCAACTCTGGTTGATTTAAAGACTAACAGTGTATTACAAACTGACAAAAATACCCTTCTAGTGATTCAGAGTAGTGGTAAAAACTGCAGAAACACACATACAAATACAAAACATAGAACACATGAAAACGGCATTACTCAGGAAAAAGGCTATATTTAGGCTACTACAATAAAAAAGGAAGTTCATACACGAGCCTAAAAATAATTATGAAAACATAAGTACAAGGTTGCAAAAACTAAGAAACTTAAAAGCGACTCCTCCCATCAACATCTACTCAGCCAAAAACTGTTAAAAATAGGCTCAGGTACTGCACCTGCCTCTGTGACCCTTGTCATTTTTGGTTTTCAGCCTCACACTTTCCTATTTTTAAAACAAACTTCTCTCCATACCCTGACAGAAATATCCACACCTACGGCAGAAGAAAACTGACTATGCAAGGAAAGGAAAACAGGATTTTCATCCAATTCTTTATAGGTACAGCTCTCTTCAGCACCACATGTAGCATATAGGTTAAAAAAAATAAATAAACATCAGACTGCTCTTACATACTCCTTTAAGTTTTGCATGCAAAATTTCGAACTGCAATTCCTTTTGCTTGCTCTAGTACAGGTTCTAAGGGTACAAGTTTAAGACAAAACAAACACAGACTTAATTTAAATACTACCTTGTACTACATTATTATGATTCTACCGCCTCATCCCAAATTAGTCACACTTTTATGCTTTTTGAAATTGTCAGTTAACAAGACAACACTCCTAATTCTTGACAAGTACATAAATCCAGTATTGTTGTGTTACTTCTCTTTAAAGTTTACCCTATTCAACATTGTTCAATAAAATGAGTTGTAATTAGTAAGTAGCTTTAGAAATACTAAAGTAATGCTCAAATCAACAGGAAGTTACCTTCGCATCCACTACAAATACACTGTAGCTAAAAAAATACACGTTAAAACAATCATAGACATTAGGGAAGGAGGTTCTTACTATGTGTTAGGAACAGCCCTCTTACTTTTAAGGGCTAAAATTGGGCAGGGAAATAAGTGTAGACAGTGCTGCTACAGCCGCTAATAAAAGGACGTGGTTAAATCTGATGATGTTAACATTGGCTATATCCTTTACCTGAAACAAGCATGACAGTGAAACACACTTCCCTGTCCTAATCTGTTCCACCGACATTATTCTGCAAAAATATTGTACAGCATTGTGTAACAGTAAAGTTCAGAGAAGTGCAAAATTAGTGTTCTTTTTGTTATTTTGCCGTCTAATCAAAATTGTTGGAAAAGTCATGCAAGTCTTGTCAAGGGTTACACATGGGTAGGTCTGCCATGCAACTGAACTACCAGCCTTAATGTCACCTTAGGCATTACTCTATTTCAAGTAATTAAATGTTTTATCTCCTCATAAATCTTTATCTCCCCATTGCTTTAAAAAAAAATATTAAAGGTATTAAAAATAACTAAATGATGAGGTCTTATGCCACAAGAGGTGCCACTTTGCCTTTTGAGTCACAGAATTCAAACAGAGCTCCTAAAGATGAGTCTCCCAGGAAGATTTAGGCTGATCTGCACAAATTTGCACAAGGCTAGTCCCAGCCTGAATTCATCATTGAAGGGCTGAGGTTTTCCCTATGAAAATGCTGACTCTGAAATTCTTCAGAATTAGGATTTAGTCTATTTCATGCCAAGATCTGAAACATTTGAGAAACTTTCTTTTTCCATGGTTTGAAAGATTTGACTGTCACTTGCACTTTTCACAACACTAATTAACGGTTTTCCCCACAATAATCTTTTCTTTCCCCCTCATCTCTTCTTCCATAAAAATCTTTTGTTTTCTTCTTACCACAAACGTAAGAACAAAACAGAGAAAAACACAACTGAAGTGTTTTAACTTTCATTTTTGGTTTTATTTTCAGAAATGACTGCCATTCATACAACATGTAGCATTTAGTTACTCCAGTTAACTCCTCGATTTTTTTCTTACTATCTTTGACAACAGATCTCACCATGTATTAAATCGGGGTGGGAGAAAAACATACAATCTAATTTTCCAGTGCAGAGTGTTGTCTGCCACTTCCATAACTGAATTTGCATAAGCAGAACGAAAGCATTTACTAAAGCACCTCCCTTACTAAAAAAAAAATGTGTTTTAAGACATACTAAGTGCCACCTATCTTTTCTATTTACAGGAAAAATATATTAAGATTTCTTCCTCCATCCTACCAAATAACTCCCCGTGCTGGTCCATTCAAGTGGTCATACTTCCTCCAGTCCCAAAGTTTATGAGTCTCAATTCTCACCCAAAGCTTTTAAATATTTGCCCTCACAAACACCTCCAAAACCTCAGGATTGAGCACACTCACACACACTGCTGCACTGTAACACAGAGGCCAGAAACGAACACGTCCACAACCGGCACATCCTCATCAGGACCAAGTGAGAGAAACAGCAACAACATACCCTAAATACTGGAAGGGACCATTTCTACCACTAGTCATGCTTCTCACCTCTCTTACCAACCCCATGTTAGTAAGTTCATATTTTATTTTTTTATCATTATTTTCTCTTGGTCATTTATTTTCTCGGTTATATTCCCCGTGATTTTGCACAGTTGTGCAGGAGATGCCCAAAACCAACACCGCTTGTGCTGTGAGCCAGTGTCACGCTCGAGTGCGGGCTCCAGGACTTAAAAGGAGATAAAACCCCACTTCTGGGGGGCTTCGGGAGCCAGGACGAGGAGCGGTGATGCAGGCAGGGGCTGAGCCCTACCCCGCACTGCGGGGCCGCAGAGCCCAGAGTCTCCGGTGCCTCACCGCGCCACAGCCCCATCCCACGGAGAGGCAGCAAGGGGCAGACAGGGGCCTCGGCCCGCGGGGGACAGGGCCACGCCTGACCGAGCAGGCAGCGGAGCGGCGGGGTCCCCTC